GATGACGCTGATCCTGATCTCCAGGAGACTGATGTGCTCTCTGTGTTTTTACATGCAGTTATTTTGTTTACTAAATGTGAGGAGATTTGATTTCATTTTCATAAAATCTATTTAAGCAGAGAGCCTTGTCCTCCCTCCCCCTTCACCTTGTGCATCTTCCCCTACCCACTACCTTGTGCACCCCCCAACTTGTCCTCTTCTACCCCTCCCCCCACACCTTGTGGAACTCCCTCTCCCCCCCCTCACCTTTCGCAGGTTCCCCATCCTCTCCTCATCTTGTGCACCCCCTGTCACTCCGCTCAACTTGTCCTTATCTCCCCCCCCCCTCACCTTGTACAACTTCATCTTCCCCCCTCATCTTGTGTAGCTTCCCTTCCTCCATATCTTGGGCACCCCCTTCCCCCCCCCTCACTTTGTGCACCCCCATCACCTTGTGCAGCTTCTCCATCCCTCGTGCCCCCCCTCACCTTGTCCTACTCCGCCCCCCCACCTTGTGAAGGCTCCCCCACCTCCTCCAGACACTGGTAGCACGGGGGTCTTGCACTGCACACAGTACATGCTGTGGTTCTCCACCTTGTGGTTGGTACAGGTGGAGATCAGTCTCTGGCTCACATGGCCCTGGGTGGGTGGTACCAGGTTGTGCTTGGCCAGCAGTCCCTTGGGCGGATGACAGCGAATGCGGCAGGGCTCACAGTAGAAAAACACCGCAATCCTCGCACAAGACGGTGGCCTCCTGTTTCTGCTTTGCTCTGCTGGTAGTGCTCGATGGTGCCCTCTAGGACCTGGTTCTTGGTGAAGCCAAGGAACCCCCACTCATCCCAGGGAGTAGTGACACAGTGAGCAGGTCAGGCACTGGTGGTGAGGAGAGGAAAACAGGGTCTCAGAGGAGTTTTGGTGAGGTTGGTGGGGGGGGGTGGACCCGCACTCCATTCAGGGATTTCTGGCATAGGGCGGTTGGCGCACTGGCAAAGGTGATTTTACCGCCCCCCTCTGTCATGGCGTACTAAGGTGGCTGCCCTGTGTGTGCAAGCAAAAATGCATTTTTATTTTTTTTTTTTTTTTTAATTTTCCTTGCATGTGATTGGGGATACTTTGTAAAGTGACGTTTCACCTCATTTACTAAGCTCTGGAGCAAACTGCAATTGCAGTCTATTTGCCTTTAGTAAATCATCCCCTATGTGCCTTTTGGCTTTTCCAGGTCTTCCTTCTGTTGGGCAGGCACAGCGCAGGACCAAGGATACTCAATGATCTCTTGGCTTTAGCTCTGTTAGTTGAACAGAGTACAGGATGCCTGTCATCAAGCTCCTACATATGTATAGGTCAGAGCAGGTCCTGTCCTGTGTTCTCCCTTCTCAATTCTTGGCAGATACATTACAAACCCCCCCCCCCCCCAAAGAAAATACAATTAACCTATTGCCTAAATAAGGCGCAGGAGAGGGTGAGGATTGGTGGATAGAACTGCCCTATTATATGCTGCTTCCTGGCAAAGAATAAACATTTTTTTCCTACGGGGGACCCCTGTAAGGGGATGCTTATATCACTTTCCTCAGCACCCCTTTATCACTTCCCACTAATGTTAATGAAGAGACTAGACAAGAAAGCATATGAATAATATGAAATATGGGGAAAAGGTAACACAGATTCTTAAAGTGATAGTAATGGAAAAAGAATGTTTTAAATAACAAATGTTATACTTACCTGCTCTGTGTAACAGTTTTGCACAGAGCAGCCCTGATCCTCTTCTTCTGGGGTCCCCCACTGGCGCTCCAGGCATCTCCCCTTCAAGAGTACCCCCGTGGCAAGCCACACGCTATGGGGGTGCACATGCATGCTTGTTCCCGAGCCAGGCTCTCTGCATTTCTTGACACACAGGTCTCCATTCACAAAGTGGTACTGACCATTTTAAGAAATGCGGTAAAATACCGGATCCAAAAAGGCAGAGACTACTCAAAGTTGCCTATTATATTTTTACATTTCTTAAATACCGCATGCCTGGACCACTACTTAATTACTGCATGCATTTAATTACTTAATTCCTTCTGTGAATTGAGTTTTAACGCCTATTCATGCGGTATTTACCAAGCTTTTTGAGCGTTTCGCAGTGAATACCGCAAAACGATATAGTGAATTGACAGTTTCAGGATCGCATACGATATTTAGGCAAAATGTGTCGGGACACCTAAATACTGCATGCAATCTGCTTCTGTGAATAGAGCCCAGCGAGTACAGCCCTGATCCCTCCTCACTGGCTGTGATGGAAAGCAACAGGAGCCAATAGCTCCAGCTGCTGCCCATGTCCAGTGAGGAGAGAGACAGAGTGGAGCGAGCCACTACTCTCAGGCACAGTGTTGGATCAAGATCAGGCTCAGGCAAGTATGTGGGGGGGAGGGGCTAGAACTGAAAACAGAAGATTTTGTACCTGAAAATGCATTACAGTAAAAAACCTTCTGCTACAACCAGCACAATGTTCTTATTCCAAAATCTTTATTAAAGGGTCCAACTGAGTGTTGTATTTAATTTTTTAATTCAATTTATAAATTAATTTATGTTAATTGTATATTTAAGCACCATAGAAGTAAGTAATGATTGATTATAGGTGGTTAAGAAATTCACACAACCAAAAAAGGTTCAATGTTTAGAGGTCAGATAAGTATAGGGCACTTCCATTTTTATATTGTTCAAGAGGGACTTCACTGTCTCAATCAACAATAGGAAAATATATTATATTTACTAGTTTTAAACTTTCTTTTTTACATTCCTTCATTTACTTCCTGGTTTGCAGGCCTAGGCACATGATGTCATATATCCCAGAAGTCTTCAGGAGGGAAGGAGGGGTTTTCTCAGCTGAGCACACCCTCCTGCCTGAGCTAAGGGGGCAGGTGGATTCCAGAAAGTAAGGCTCCATGCACACTGGGTGTTTTGATAACGCTGGTAACGTTAGCTGTGTAAAATCACGTTAAAAATGTGTTGTTCAGCCTTTTTTAGCGTTTTATTAGTGTTTAGCACTGTTTTCCATCATTTTTCCGTGTTTGCGGTTTTTGCATTTTTTAGCATTTTTTTACGCCTTTTACTCCTCTAGAAACCCACTAGTCCTGGGTTTTTTCCAGCCAAAAAAATGTCCCTGCCAAAAAATATTGATTACAGTCTATGTGTACATGAACACACAGGATAACATGCTGGGGGTTTACTAGCTGTAGTAAAAAAAAACATCAAAAGCCAAAAACAGCCGCTGTAAAAACGTCCAGTGTGCATGAGGACTTGCTACATGAATCATCTGCCCTTAAGCTAGGTTCACACCCATGCAGTTTGCATTTGAGCCATTTCTGCATTGCATTTTGCGTTTTTGCACCTACATTTTTTACGTGTTATTTTTTTTTATTTTTCTTGTTGCTAGGCAGAAACGCAAACCAAAAACGCATCAAAAACACGGCAAAACGAATCAAAAACGCACTACATGCTTTTCTGCAGCATTTCCATTGAAGTCTATAGAACCAAAATAAAAATATTTTTTTACGTTCAAAAAAGTCCCTGACCCTTTCCAAAAAATGCACCGGGGGAAAATGCTGAGATGTGAACGTGTCCCATAGGAAATCATGTTAAAAAGGTCTGTACTATGTTTCTGCAAAACACTGCGGAAAAAGCTTAGGTGTGAACCTACGGTTACTCAGGATGGCCGCAGCCAGAAATGCTGGGAGGGGTGAGGTTGTTTCAAAGTGATTTCTCAGAAAAATAAATCATGGAGACATGGATGGATGGTGGAGTTTGCTTTGAATATTATAAATGAATCAAATAGTGTTTTTGGTGCTCAGATATAGTGTAGTTTTGCTTTAACTTTTTCAATGTATTTTATATAATACATTGCAGAAGTTGAAGCATACTGTAAGAAAAGGTGGGATGGTGCACAACACCAAGATATGCAATTTAAATTTTATTTATTTCACCCTCCGGTGGGACATTGAAAACTACATGGACAACAAACAATGGTTTCTCAAGTACATATATATATTTTCAAATATTTTCTTAAACCCAATGGATAAATTAACCAAATGTACGAATCTCCAAAAACTCTATGTACCAATGCTATAGTAATCTTTCAGTGGATATTTTAATTATTTGGTATACAGAAGAAAAATCCCAAAAGCAACCCACCTATTTCAGAACCAGTTTATTAGTAAACGGCATGTTTATGTTATCAGCATACCAATCCAGAAGATTGGTGTGCCAACTGGTATTATTAGAGATGGGGCGAGGAGACTATTTCTTCTAATAAAAGAATTTAAGTTCAAAGTGATTTCTCAGAAAAATAAATCAAGTAGACATGGATGGATGGGAGAGTTTGCTTTGAATATTATAAATGAATTAAATAGTGTTTTTGGTTTGTGGTGCTCAGATATAGTGTCGTTTTGCTTTAACTTTTTCAATATATTTTTTATAATACATTGAAGATGTTGAAGCAAACTGTAACAAAAGGTGGGATGGTGCACAACACCCAGATATGCAATTTCAATTTTATGAATTTCACCCTATGGTAGGACATTGATAAGTACATGGACAACATGCAATGGTTTCTCAAGTACATACTGTATATATATTTTCCAATATTTTCTTAAACCCAATGGATAAATTAACCAATTGTATGAATCTGCAGAATCCCTATGTACTGATGCTATAGTAATCTTTCAGTGTGGGTAGACATTTTAATTAATTCTTTGCTATATAGAGTAAAAACCCCAAAAGAGACCCACCTCTTTCAAAACCAGCTTACTGATAAACGGCACATGGGCTGGTATTAACACAGTTGGCAACCCACATACTTATGTTATCAGCATACCAATCCAGAAAATTGGTGTGCCAACTGTTATTATTAGAGATGGGGGGAAGGAGACTATTTCTTCTAATAAAAGAATTTAACTGAAAAAAAGAGGAGATTGGTGGGTTCAAACCCTGTAAACAGGATAAAAGCAGATGACCGGATTATGATTCATCATGTAGTCACTCACCAGATGTCCACCTTCTCAGAGACGGGCTCATTGCGTATGACCTCTGGTGCCATCCAAGCTACCGTACCAGCAAAGGACATTTTAGTACTTTTGTCACTCAGCTCTTTGGAAGTACCGAAATCTGATATTTTTACTAGGTCATCATAGGTGATCAGCATGCTGTGGGTAACAAAAGAATAACCATGACATATGCATAACACAAATATTAGAAATGCTGTTCAATTTTTTGTACATAGGTAAATTATATACAGAAATATATAAATATGTATGTACATAAAATATTAGAAAAACATGGCACTTTATAAGACATTTTGCATACACTGAAATATAAACAAAAGTAAGTAGTTAGCTGACCGTCAGATCTTAGAGATCCTTTAGTTCCAGATTCCTCCTCTGAATAAGAAAATAAATCTAAACAAGGGGGCAACAAATAATTCATACCACAAAGCTGAACCTTGGGCAGATACAAATGGCACGCATTTAGGCAGATTGTTATTTATTAATACATGCTTTAAAGTGGTTGTAAACCTCAGACATGAAATATAAACAAAGCATATCCTTCTATAGTGTGTGCTTGTCTCAATCCAGAGCACCAAGTGCCATTTATGTCTGCTGTCCTGTTCTTCTTTTATCTGCATGAGTCACTTCTAACAAGTTTTCCTGACACCAAGAGAAAAATGGTGACAGGGAAGGGAGCTCCAAAACACAGCCTGTGATTGACAGCCACAGCTCTGTTCCTGTGAGCTGTGTGAAGAGGGGTGTGTCCCTTACCTCCAATCAGCTCTCAGAGCTCTCCTCACTGAGCTCTGCAGTGTGTAATTTCAGCTCTCTGCCCCCGTTTTCTGGCAGCCCAGACTAGTTTTATCATTTCAGGACTTTGAATGGATGTAGAGAAAAGAGGGCCACAGATAAACAGGTACAACTTATAAAGAAGGATTTGTTTCATTTTTCTGTATCACCTGAGGTCAGTCGCTTCACTGGGTATATGTAGGCGTTTACAGCCACAGCTTAAAGTATAAGTACCTGAATTGAACTTGGTATCAGCCACTTGCAGTCTGTACAGCAGAGCTCAGACTGGCAGAGGGAGAATCAGCAATCAGCTGTGCTGCAGTGTTCAGGTGCTAACAAGGGACATGCTGATAGGATGAAAGAGCAGAGTGACAGAGAGGTGAGCTCATCAATCTGTTGCTTCTCCTTTTACCGTCCAGCCACAGGCTGGAGGAGGGATAAGACCTGTAAATGTTACTTAACTGCAGCAGAGAAAAAATCAAGTCTCTTGCTTTGCTGCACAGGGCTGTGCGGTGTGGCAGAGCTATGTAAATTTCACAACTGGATGGACAGAAATACAGATCATTTAGCAGGTAAAATATGACTGGTCTTCTTTCAGGTACATTTTGCAGCAATGATGTATAATATTTGCTTAGTAAAGACTAACTGTACTTTGCCTTATGTCTTTATTTCTGCTCTTCCACAGTAAGCGAATTTTGACTTTCACTCTATGAGGGCAATGTGGAAGAGTTAAAGGGAAAATTTGTTTCTATGGGCAACAAGAAAAATTCTTCCTACAGATTCTCTGATTAATAACCTCCTATATATCTCGCATGACCCATCCACTTACCGCTCAGAGGTCACTGCTAATGTGAGAGCTAATACATGCCAAGGCAACATACATATACTCACACTTCCCACCCACACAGGAGACAAATGCCAGCATGAGCTATACTAAAAAGGACTAATGATCCAGTGTATATCACATCACCACTGATCCATGCTAAATATTTTGGATAATGATTTTCACTAGTGCAAGGGACTGTACAGGAATTTCAGCCATGGGTTAGATGCACAAAATATGGAACCAGCTTAACCTTTTCATTCCAAATTGAAACACAACATGTCTTCTATATAATGAACAATATAATGAACAGATGATCTGAACGCACATAAAACTGGCAACACAAATCTTGCAACCATGGCAACAGTTATAGATTGTAAACTCTAACAAGAGCAGCTCTAATTTCCAATAAACAAAATTTAATTTGTAGATTTTGTATATTGTACTCTAATTTATTAACCCCCTTCTTCTCAGCCCCAGCATCCCTTTAACAGGGATAAATGGTTAGCACTTCCGCCTGGTAGTATTAGGGTCGTTGGTTCAAATCCCAACCATGGCACCTCCTGCCTGGAGTTTGCATGTTCTACCTGTACCTGCGTGGGTTTCCTCCGGGTACTTTGGTTTCCTCCCACACTCCAAAGACATGCTGGTAGGTTAATTGGATCCTGTCTAAATTGTCCCTAGTATATGTATGTATGAATGTGAGTTAGGGACCTTAGATTGTACGCCCCTTGAGGGTTAGGGCCTGATGTGAATGTATAATATATATGTAAAGCGCTGCGTAAATTGACAATAGAAGTACCTGAAATAAATAAAACAGGGTCCTTAAACTAGCCATACATTATACAATTTTCTTATTCAATTTCCTTTAGATTTACCTTCAACTATGTAGTGCATACCAATTGAAAGTGTTTAGGTTTGACCTCATGTTACATGATTTTGGTAAATCTAAAGGAAAATTGTACAAGAACATTGGATAATGTATGCAGCGCTAGAATGATAGAATGATAATGATGAGCAAAATATATGTACGTATAAGAAAGTAGGCAAAAGAACAATAATATTCAAAACGGGCTTTTGACAACGCTAAAAGGTAAGAAGACCAGTCTAAGGTATAATCTCATAGGTGCAAATAGTGACAATAGTGCTCTAGTCTGTATAGGAAATAAAGCGAATATCCGTGATTGCTGTGGCTGTGAGAATAGGTGTACAATGCACTAACCAGATAGCACTGGAGTATATAAGACCTACTCCTTGGTACTCAGGGAATGGAACCTTTAACACGGATGAAGTCATCAAGGCAGGAACCAACCACCAGGGGTCATCTTGGGCTCGTTATTTCCATTGGCGAGTCCCTCCTTTTCCTAAGGTGCTTCTAAATACCTGATCTATGCATATTTGCATGATCCCCCCGATGGTTGAGACCGGTATTGCTGGAGACTGCTAACCTGTCCTGATGGCTGTGATTCATACTGCTGGAGACAGGTAACCTGCCCTAGATGGATGACCCCTGGTGGTTGGTTCCTGCCTTGATGACTTCATCCGTGTTAAAGGTTCCATTCCCTGAATACCAAGGAGTAGGTCTTATATACTCCAATACACAATCATTTGTGCTATCTGGTTAGTGCATTGTACACCTATTCTCACAGCCACAGCAATCACGGATATTCGCTTTATTTACTATACGGACTAGAGCACTATTATCACTATTTGCAGCTATGAGATTTTATCTTAGACTGGTCTTCTTACCTTTTAGCGTTGTTAAACGCCAGTTTCTGAATATTATTGTTCTTTTGTCTACTCTCGTATATGTGCATATATACGGACTAGAGCACAATGTCATTATTTGCACCTATGAGATTATACCTTAGACTGGTCTTCTTACCTTTTAGCGTTGTCAAACGCCAGTTTTGAATATTATTATTCTTTTGCCTGCTTTCTTATATGTACATATATGTTGCTCATCCTTATCATTCTAGCGCTGCATATTTTCACTTGTTTATATATTTTCATTGGAGGATTTTGAGGTTTCCCTCTTTATGCTGGCAGCTCTCCACTCATACCGCAACCCAGCCCTCATATAGCTTGTTTTTTTATATTGGATAATGTATGGCCAGCCTTAAGCCCCAAGGGTGGGAGGGACTAGCCCAGGGGTGCTCAACCTGTGGCCCTCTAATGTGGCCCTTGACCTCAAACCAGGGAAGCACACTTCTATTATATCCTGCAGGTTTGGTGCACTTCTGAAAGTACAAAAAAACTCCTCAATGCAGGTGTTTTGGTGTGCTTTCAGAAAATGCACCACAACTACAAAATATAATAGAAGTCTATAGCAAAACGCAACTAACCTGCAGGAAAGCAGCTGGTGTGGTAAACCACATTGCATCAGTGTGAAAGCAGGCTTATAGGGGCTTGGGACAGTAATAGCTCATTTAAATTTACATTACATTTGAGGGGGCAGTAATACCCCATAGTTGAGACGTGTTTTTACCATAACCCCCCAAAAACGGGTGTAGCATCAGGGTTCACAATGGCGTCCCCATCCCATGCTCCAGGGGGCCCTGTATGGCCTTCTTGTCACATTCTGTTTTACAATTGGACAGGAGGGGCAGCAGGGACAGCATATACAGGAACTGATCTTCTCCATTTCTCTCCTGCAACCACTTGAAGCTGGCTTCTCCTGCTCTCCCTCCTGCCAGCAATTCAGCGGCTGCAGAACAAAAATGTTGATTATGCTATTCAAATGAAAAAAGTAATTCTGGACCATTTGATTTCATTGTGGCCCGCGACTGGTTACCAAATCACTTAAATGGCTCTCGCTCTTCAAAAGGTTGAGCACCCCTGGGCTAGCCGATCATGTGACCGCTGTGATTGGCTGTTACAGTGGTCACATGATCAGGAGCAGGTCCTGCTGATCATAAAAAAAACTGAGAGCAGTCTTTGACCTTGACAGCTCGGTCACTTTGCTGGGAGCCTATAGTGGGTGTGCTCTCAAGCTCTGCTGCCCATTGACGCATATGTGTGGAGTGTGAGTGTTAAAGCCCACCCCCTTTGCCGCCATGCATATGAGGTTTCCCATTTTCGCTTCTGCATGTTTGTTAAAGCAGACAGGTGTTTGACAGCAATAAAGTAAACTTATCTTGAGAAATATATTGGCTGCCATTGTAGGCCACCTTCTGAAAATCCTAAAATCCTAGTTTTCTGGCTCTTATGTTATCCCATAGTATTTTCTAATTCAATTACTTGGAATATGTGTACAGATAAGGAAAAGGGCACAATTGTCCTTATCTGCATGTTAGTTCTGGGTCACTGAGTCAATGTATTGAAGCAAGCTGGTCATCAGCATAACAATATAGAATTTTCAGAAGTAGAGCATAGCAAAGGAAGCCTCCGTGTTTCTCTCCTTACAGGTTTCTTTAGTGGTTTACTACAGCATACCATTGATGTACACTTGCACTAGCCTGTGTTTGGCAACATCTATGTACACAATAGGTGAACTACCCAGATTTGAAGTCATAGTTCACCTTATAAATAAATAAACACATAAATTAAAAAATGAACAAATATTGATTTAAAAATTAGCATTTTTTTTGCGCACATTAAAGCTTTGCAACTACATTTAGTGGATAGTAGGTGCAAAGTACTGGCTCCTGCAGAGCATTCCTGCTGCTGCACGTCCATGCCTTGGTATGGACCTTCAGTTACAGGGCTGGAGGTAGTATCAAAGGACAAATACTTTGACATCGTCAACCTCAATGCTGAAGGAAGTATCAAGGGCCTACAAGTGCTGTATGGTAGATGGGCCACATGTGTGGACTGTGCCATGCACAGTTAAGCTGAATTCAATTAATGTCAGGAGCCAGGAGGAAGAAGAACCCCCCTGATTCTGTAAGAGATGAGTAATTATGGGGTGGGGGCTGCAGATTCTGCCCATGTTTCATGTTAAAGGGATGTAACATGGTCAAAAAGGTGGATTTCTCTTTTAATAAGATTTGCTACTGACAATAACCAGAAAACTGTGTAATGATGGAGACATCTGACCTTGTGAATGCCAACGTAAACGTCAATTCATTTATATTTGTGCAAATTGTGTATTATACATTTCAAAACGATTCTATTAAATCTTAGGGGTATATTTCATCCTAAAAACGCAATATACTGTAGCTTACCAGTCCATATATGAGGTGGCTGCATAAGATCTCTTTTTCAATATATTATTACTGCGATAGTGTGTTGGCCATCTACCAGAACAGATCATAGGTAGAGACATCCCGAACTTTTACAAATCATAGACAAAGGAATACACTCAGGAGTTTACTGGTACCAAATTTCCATGTATGTAATGAAACTACCAATTATTTTCACTGCTAAAAATTTTAATTTATTTATAAAATTAAGATTACAAAATCAATAAAAGACTATATATTGCTCCAATGAATACGCCCCCTTCCTAAATGGGGGGAAAACAAAAAGACAAACTAAAGGGTACTATCCCCCAGCACCACTACATCTCCCTGAATTTACTTCAACCACACCACTTAAATTCAAGAGCTTACGTAACTATAATGAAAAACATGCTTACCCTGAAGAATGAGAAAGAATGCAGCCACTACATCTAAGGATTGGTAAACTATAATACATTTTTGCTCTTTGAGTTAAATATCTCTTCAGGAGAACAGAAACTGGAAATCTACTCCAGCCGAAACCTTGACAGAATTAAAAAAAATGTTTCCTTGCTATTCAAAAAATGTGCTTTTATTTTACTTTTGTCCCTGAGATTCCCCTAAATTACTGTCCCAGAGATGAAACAGGAAGTAAGACAAAATCTCCATAATGTGTCACATTAAACTGGACTTATTCTGCAATTTTGAGGATTGTTTCATTGCTCATCCAAGCAGCATCTTCAGTTCATCAGCTGAAGTTTCTCTTTAACAAATGAAAGATGATTCTTGTATAAGGGGGCAGGCTTAAAAGCTAAGTTCAACTTTGCAGAAAAAAATAATAAGTGCACATATTTTTGCAGAAAAAAAATGTGCATTTATTTTTTTTACCTGTGGGAGCCTGGAAAGCATTGCACCTGTGATCAATAGATTGTGGGTGCAATGTCAGGCTCCTGCAGATATGTCCTCCAGGTTTCAGCCTGTACTTCTGCAGTGGCTTCCTGTTTGAAAGCTGAAGGACATGTTAGTGCCCCCACAGCCCATTGAAATTACAAGTCCATCTGCTGCAGTAGAAGACAGTACTTGTAGTTTATTCATTCATAGGAATTTGTGAATGAATGACATGGCTGTGTGGTCCGAGTCCTGCACAACTGCCGAGTTTTTAAGAAGTGATAGCAGGTGTAGGGAGAGGAATCCTAAATATGTGTGAAATATGTAACATGTTCCAAAGGTGATCTTACCCTTTACTGGTATTGAGAGCAGTAAACCCTGCATGAGACAGGAACATACAGGACAGTCCAACAGCAAAACAAACAGGAAGTATTTGGCAATATTTAGTATTCTGTCAGCTGTCAGCCTTTTCGCCAAGCAACGGACTCACAAAGCATAGAGAGTGGAAGAGATACACTCTAGAATAAGTCAGCTCACAAATAAAATAAAAAGGCCTGTGGACAGCTGACACGAATAATGACATCTGGCTAATAGGGAAGATGTGGACCTAGGGATAAAGGCTTTGGCCTAGCAATGCTCTACAAAGGCTCTAGGCTCTAGGCTCTAGGGCCCCTGGGCAATTATTAAGATGTGAGAAAACATCAAAGTTTGTTTCCTCCACAACAGCTATAAACCATTGAGCCCCTCACCCTGTGTAGGTGAGAAACCTGGGTGATACGTATACATTGTCCACTATCCTGCCAGCCAGTGGTCCTTCCACAGGGAATATTTAGTCAGTTTTGACTTGGAATGGACAAACTCTTGTAAATCAGTGTGATGTTGGAGAGAATAGTGTTGAATTACTGAATGCTGAGAAGGTCTGATGCAAGTGCTACAAGCTCAGCTGTTAATTAAGTCAAGAATCAATGGAGATGCAGTGACATTGTTGTGAAGGTATTTTCTTTTGCATGGGAAAGCTTTTTATAGTTAGCAAAATCCCATTTATTTCAGCAGCAAACAGCAGAGGCCTTTCTGTGGTCTACAGCAGTTGCCGGTCTGACCCCATTCTCACCCCATCCCACCATGGACCCAGGTGTCTCACAGAATAAAAGAGGATGAGTCAATATATTAACTGGGGGGGGTCATGTCATAGGGTTAATCTTTCACAAAGATTGTGTACAAATTGACCATGGTAATCGGCAGCATAATTAACTTGAAGATATAATATTTGACATAATTTTATGCAATCTATGCCTGTTTTATACAAACATATGATCGTTATTATCCAAGTACACCTAATAATACAGTATAGCAAGTTTGTACAATCAGTACTTACTTTGGTGACTTGAGATCCCGATGGATAATCTTGTGGAGATGAAGATAGTTCATTCCCCCAGCTATACCCATGGACCAATCCACTAGTAAGGAGGGGGTGACCTTCCTCCCAGCACGTAGCACTTCATAAAGCTGCCCTTGAGCACAGAACTCCATTAAGATACAGTAACAAGGAGCCTGTGTGCATACACCCCTACAAGACAAAATATGCAGTGAGATAATTAACTCCTTATATGACCACAACAACCACAACAAATTCCACCTTGTAACCAGGGAACATGCGATGTGATGGTGTTACTTTGCTCAGGAGCAGATATACTGTGAGAGCTCTCCAGTCACCTTTGCTGACATTTTGCCATGGAATTCTCATGTATGCTCTGTACACCCTGTTCTCATGTTTTCTTTACCTTAATGTGGAATTCTAATTTCATTTAAAAAAATAGCAAAAAAAAAAATATAGCATATACAGTTACTACCCAAGTTTTATTGCAGTTGAATGTTATTAAAAATTGCCTTTCCATTTCAGTCTTCAGCACTGTAAATTTCTGTAAAATTCAATGCAATACAACAACTTTGTGGTGTTCTGTACACAGTTGGTATACAGAATACCTCTAAAAATCTCATTTCCTGCTTGTGTGATTGGCTTACTGAATTTCCTAGAGGTCTACACTAAGATACAAGTCGGGTTTTAGGCATCCTCTGCAACATAAAGTTCATTTACGGTGAGATATTCCATAGGGGTTAATTAGGGAAGCAAACCCTGCAAGTTTTCTCTTCAGAACACTTAGAGTGCAAACCCCTTTTGGCTCTTTCTCTTATCCACTCCAGAGCAACTTCCAGTGCTAATTCAGTATTTAGAAGTGGAACCCATCCCAGTCTCCAACTGGGTGGACCCACATCTGGGTTCTAAGGACTCCTTTTGACCTCCAGCATTACCTCAGAGATGACCCAAATCAAATTCCTGAGATCATGAGATACTAAGACCAAATGAAAACGAACAGTAAAGAACCACGCTAGGGTCAGCTTACTACTCCAGCTATACTCAGCCTTACAAGCAGAACCTACTTTTGTCCCTCATAGAACAACTCTCTCTCAATCCCACAAAGCTAATCTCAGACCCCCTTCACCTTGTGATTGTTGAAAACTATGTACATATACAGTTGCAAGAAAAAGTATGTGAACCCCTTGGGATTACGTGGAGTTTTGCATGAATAAAAATAAAGTGACAGCTTGTCTTCACCTTTCATTATCAAGTATTGCATGCCTTGACTCTGCACACATCTTTGTATAATATGGAACTTACATTAAAACACTGAAATATTGAAACACAAAGGCAACATGCATCTGTGGTATACAAAGAAAAGTCTGGAGAACTTTTGCGTTTTGGTATGGCTGTGAGTCTTGGTTTGACCTTTCTGCCAAGACACCATTTCTACCAACCTAATACTTTCTCTGTATATTTCTATGGAGGAGTGAAATCTCCCAGTTGGAGGATACAAAACTGTTGTATCATTTACCATCTAGAGAAAGACCTATCACAGCTGTGCTGGGTGTGGTGTGATATTTTAAAATTAAAAGAAGCCATAGATTATACAATTTTATTTCCTTCCACCATGGGTGGAAGGAAAGGAAATTGCTTGATTTCCCCATTAACACACTGTTGATGGGAGAATGCCTCCAGTGGAGCTATTGTGTTTTGCCTGCTGGGGAGCCTTCCCTGCTGGCAGAACATGAATACTGTTAGCGGCTATAGCTGCCGGCAGTAATCGCAAGCAAAAAAACAGACAGGCTAGTTGTACTCAAGCTGACAGTTACATAGTTAGTCTGGCTGAAAAAAGACAAAAGTCCATCCAGTTCAACCATTAAAAAAAAAAAAAAAGTTATAATCCTATACCCACAGTTGATCCAGAGGAAGGCAAAAAAAAAAAAAACCAGCAAAGCATGACCCAATTTGCTCCTGCAGGGAAAAAAATTCCTTCCTGGTCCCCCGAGAGGCAATCGGATATTCCATGGATCAACTTTACCTATAATTGTTAGTATCCAGTTATACTCTGAGTATCTAAGATATAATCCAGGTTTTTTTTAAAGTAATCCACTGAGCTGGCCAGAACCAACTCTTGAGGGAGTCTATTCCACATTTTCACAGCTCTCACTGTGAAGAAACCTTTCCTTGTTTGGAAATTCAGTGTATTTTCCTCCAGACGTAAAGTGTTCCCCCTTGTCCTCTTTGATGACTTCAGGGTGAATAACTCTACAACGAGTTCACTATATGAACCACTGAGGTATTTATATATGGAGATCATATCCCCCCTTAATCTCCTCCTCTCAAGAGAGAATGAATTCAGTCCCTTTAATCTTTCCTCATAGCTGATCTCCTCCATGCCTTTTATCAGTTTGGTTGCCCTTCTCTGTACTTTCTCCAGTTCCCCAATGTTATTTTTGTGAATTGATGCCCAAAACTGAACTGCATATTCCAGATGAGGTGTTACTAATGATTTGTACGGGGTAATATGATCTCTCTCTCTGGAGTCTATACCTCTTTTAATACAAGAGAGGATTTTGCTTACTTTAGAAACTGCAGCTTGGCATTGCATGCCATTATTAAGCTTGTGATCTACCAGAACCCCCAGCTTCTTCTCCACAATTGACCCCCGCCCCAGTTGTACCCCCCCCCCTTAGTATGTATGATGTATGCATATTCTTAGCCCCCAAGTGCATAACCTTACATTTATCAACATTAAACCTCATTTGCCACATAGTTGCCCAATTAAACAGTGCATTGAGGTCGGCTTGTAAATTGAAGACATCCTGTAAGGACGTTATTCCACTGCACAGCTTGGTGTCATCTGCAAAGACTGAAATGGGATTTTTAATCCCAGACCCTATATTGTTTATAAATATATTAAGAAGTAAGGGTCCCAACACTGAACCTTGGGGTACACTACTGACAACCCTAGACCATTCAGAGTATGAATCATTAACCAGTACTCTTTGAATACGATCTTTTAGCCAGTTTTCTATCCATTTACATACCGATTTTTCCAAGCCTGCAGACTTACTTTACACATTACCCTTGTGTGGGGAACTGTGGCAAACACTTTTGCAAAATCCAAGTATACCATGTCCACCGCCACCCCTCTGTCCAAGGTTTTGCTCACCTCCTCATAAAAAGAAATCAGATTTGTTTGACAACTTCTGTCTTTCCTGAATACATGCTGTCTGTTGCTTAAAATATTTTTCCCAGCAAGAACTCATCTATGTGGTATTTTATTAAACTCTCCAGTATCTTCCCAACTCTAGAAATTAACAGATCTCTAATTACTTGGTAAATATTTTTACCCTTTTTTAAATATTGGCACCACATTGGCCTTACGCCAATCCAGTGGTACTATGCCAGTCATTAAAGAGTCCTTAAAAATTATAAACAATGGCTTTGAAATGACAGAGCTCAAGTCTTTAAGGACCCGTGGGTGTATGCCATCCGGTCCAGGTGCTTTATTCACCTTTATTCTGTCTAAATATTTTTGGATCATATCAATTGTGAGCCAATGTGGATCATCTGGGGCTGTGTCAATACCATGCCCATTATGGACAAGAGCTCCCCCATGCTCCTTTGAATACATAGAGCTGAAGAAGGTATTTAATACATTTGCCTTTTCGGACCGGACCTTTTTACTATTACTATATCTTAAGAATTTTTGGGGGTTGGTCCTTCTATCTTTTGCAATCTGTCGTTCGTTTTCAATTTTTGTGGCCTTTATTTCCTTTTTGCATATTCTGTTATATTCTTCGCAATGATTAAAACGACGATAACGTTCCTTCATTTTTATATGTAATAAAAGCTCTTTTCTTATTATCTATAGCTTTTTTAACTTTGGCCGTAAGCCACAAAGGTTTGATTTTTAGCCTTTTAAACTTGTTGCCCATGGGAATATATTTTGCAGTGTGTTCACATACAGTCTTTTTGAAAAACTCCCATTTCTGTGTTGTGTTCATTGATGCCAATATTCCCTCCCAGTCTAAGTCTTGGAGAGCAGCTTTCAGACTCGGAAAATTAGCTCTCTTAAAATTGAGCATTTTTATTTTTCCCGTATGTGCTCGCTGTTTACAGCTAACAATAAATGAAATCATGTTATGGTTACTGCTACCCAGATGTTCTTTTATATGGACATTCGTAATAAGCTCTGCATGGTTTGAGATTACCAGGTTCAGCAGAGCATCATTCATAGTAGGGACCTCTATGAACTGTACCATAAAATTGTCCTGTAGTAGATTTAAAAATGTTTGCCCTTTAACTGTTCCTGCAGTACTATTACTCCAGTCAATTTCGGGAAGTTAAAATCCCCCATTTTTATCACTGTCCCAGCCCTTGCATCCCTTTCGATTTGTGCAAGGAGCTGAGTCTCCACCTCCTCATTAACACTGGGAGGCCTATAACAAACTCCAATGATTAGCTTTGTAGTACGCACCCTCATGTGCAGTTCCACCCATAATACTTCAGCCTCATCACACTCTCCATCAACTAGTTCCCCTTTCACACTCGTTCTGAGATCACTTCTCACATAGAGACAGACACCGCCACCTTTTCCTATTTACTCTGTCTCTCCGAAAGTGAACATAGCCAGAAAAATTAATGACCCAGTCATGTGAAGAATAGAGCCAAGATTCAGCAATACAAATTAAATCATAGTTCTCTTCATGAACCAAAGCTTTCAACTCACCTATTTTGCTTGGCAGACTTCTGTCATTGGTGAACAAACACTTTAATTAATTGACAACTTGTTCACACGTATTTTGCATATTTTTTTATTTTCATACAAATGGTACAAATTCCACTGGTTGTTTGTAACATGGGAACCTTCTTATCTGCCATAGCCTTCCCCTATCTTTCCCCATTCCACTAAGCAAATAAGTACTGACCCCTGTTTGATCTGTCTACCCCGTTATAATCTAATTCTCCCACCCCCTTGCTCCTAGTTTAAATACTCCTCCAGCCTTCCCATAAACCTCTACCCCAGCACAGCAGACCCCCATCCATTTAGGTGCCAACCATCTCTACTGTAGCATATATTTTGCACCCCAATGAAAAGTCAGCCCAGTGCTCTAGAAACCAAATCCTTCCCTCGTACACCAGGTCTTCAGCCATGCATTGAGTTCTCTAATCTCCCCGTCTTTCCTGAGTTGCACATGACACAAGTAATATTTCAGAGAATATCACCTTGGAGGTCCTTCCCTTCAATTTGCAGCCTAGTTCTTTAAATTGATTCTTAAGGAGCCTCCACCTTCCATGTATTCTGTCATTGGTTCCAACATGAACCAAGACAACTTGGTCATGCCCAGCCCCTCCCAGTAATTTATCAACCCGGTCCACCACATGCCATCCCCTGGCACCAGGGAGACAGCAAACCATTCAGTTGAGGCAATCCTAGCAACAAATTATTCTATCAGTCCTTCTAATTATAGAATCCCCTATTACCACCAGCTGTCTAGGCTTTCCTGCACTACCATCACCACCCCTCCCAGATGGTCTGCCCTCCCGGCTGTTAGGGATAGCAGTGACATCCAGGGCTGCCACCTCTGAGCTTGCCACCCCCACATCTTCACCCAACTTGGCAACTCTGGTTGGGTGCATAAACCCAGGGCCGGCCTTCCTTTTCTGTGAGCCCCTACCACACACTCTTGTTACAGTAACCCATCTTCCTACCTGATAATCCTGATTAGCCCCTCCACCCTCCATATCTGCTCAGAGAGCAGAAGACCCCTTTCAAGGATGGACTGACTTCAGTACAACCAGCCTGCCCAGAGATTACTTGAATCTTGACCGGTCCCTACTGAACTGACCGAGTTTCAATCAATCTACAGCCATCTTAAGGTCAAGACCACCAGTTAGGACCTAGCCCATTCTCCCCAGAACAAAGAAATGCATTTTTGGTGAGTGAACTATGGGATTTCACTCAGTTTAGTTTATTTTTCCACTACAAGACAAAGTTTCAGTCCAAGGGAATATTTATCAAAGTCCTTGGACTTTAACTATAACTTTGTTTTTACGGACTTTAACTATAACTTTGTTTTTACTATAAATTATGGATTAATGCTTGTCTCTGAGGCCTGTGAAAAAGGCCAACATGTTTAAAGCATCATGACCTGCAGCCTCCTGACTCTGTGTTTGCTTCTTACTTTGCTATACATAAGCAGCTCTTGGGTGATAAATCATTCAGTAGAATGCAAAGTAGGCCTCCTATCTAGTTATAGAAAAGAGTAGTTTGTTCACAGAAAAACATAAAGCCTTTTGACTACAGGCCACCATGCCTCAAATTACAGCAAAGATAACCCATGTTATTCATTTTTTCAGAGGCCCCATCAACAATATTAATCCAGAAGGAGTAAAGTGGACTGATGCTTTAAATATCCCCCTGTACAGTGTGAATGCACTTACTTTCTTTGTTTCTTAGACTTATGCTTTTGCTACATTCCTTGCTTGGTAAGTTTAGTGTGCAAAAGTTGAACAGTTTCTCATGTCAAGCAGTTTTTTGTTATCATTTGTTTATTCAGGATGTGATGGGGTTAAGATGGTATGGCAATAATATGCTATTGAGAGGCTATAACACAATGTGATTTGATCTCTGAATTGTTTTTTAATTGTTATAAAGGAAGTTTTTTTTTTTTTTGCTCACTTGAAGGTGATGATATTGGGATGCTTCAGTTTCCGCAGATGTTTGATATCTGTTTCTTTTATATCTCTGACTTTCTTCACAGCCACTTCTTCACCATGAAACTTCCCCAGGAAGACAGCTCCCTGAGCTCCACTGCCTACCCACTGTAGGTCCTGAATCTCTTCAAACGGCACTTCCCAAGAGTCTTCGCAGAACAAAAACAAAAATATAGAAACACAAGCAGTTATAGAAGAACACTATATAGTTTTTATTTGTAGGAATCACTAATTATCTTCCCTTATGTGCTCCACGTACTGATGACATGCATTAGTGCCACCTTTTCTAAAATATATAATATAGCAAATACTGGTGCTGATGTGGGTAGTACAAGAAGAACCACCTGAAAGGAAAGAACAAGAGGGCTTCTCTCTCTATATCTTTCAAATAAACTGGTAATTGTGTGTCCATTTATGAACATGTTCATTTAGGTGGAAGTGTTTTCAGGCAGGGTGATTCATAACACCTCAATAGGCAGACAATAAAAATCAGACAATATTTTAACTGCAAATAAATAATTTGGTCAACTTGTTGCTGATATGCACAGTCCATGACAGCAGAATGACTTATCATAAACAGTGTGAGTACTGAGGTGGACCACTGGTATACCAGGCAGAGCAGAAGCTGATTGCAAACAATGGGTGGACAAAAGAGGAGACTAAAGAGCTGATGACTGAGGACCATGTAAAAAGAGAGTAGAGAGAATGGCAATTGACTGTGAGCTTAAGCCTAGCACACACAATCAGAAAATCATACGAAAAATACCACTTTGAGGCAAGCATATGGTAACCTGATCATTAGTACACAGCTTTCATCTGAAATTATTAGAAGGGATAAGTATGAACATTTTACTTGTACAATACCAGATTGTACAGTTTTTATTTAATCAGCACAGTTTGTGTCCGCAAATACAATACAATAGATTACATCACTTCCAAATTTTTACTCTGTTGTATGAAAATTTGCGGGATTTTAGCAACCTCTTCATTTTCAATATGGAGACTAGCATGCAAAAAAAATGAATGATCATTTGTCTGATATTTTCATTGTGTGTACAGGGCTTAAGAGACTAAAGAGGAAGGAGAGTGTAGAGAAAAGTTGATCATGGTGGGTGGGTGACAAGAGAAATTATTATGGCTAACAGAGGAACATTGAGAGAGCAGGCAGAGCAGGAACTTGTTGACTTGGACTGGGGAATCATGGATTGAATAGGAAGACGGCACAGAAGGGCCAATAACTTAATGGGGGAATGAGACAGTGCAGAGTGGGCACAGAGGAATAATATAACAAGCAGAGGGTGGTTGAAGGGGTGATGAGAGGGCATGCTCATAGCTTGGAGGAGACAAAGCAGGCCAACTGTAGATTGGGGAGACAGAAGGGACAGCAGGAGATAATTTTTTACTGATAGTTGGAGAAACAGAAGCTGGTCATAGACCAGCTTCGAGGCACACAGTGTAAGAGACATCATGGGCCAGTGATTTAGAAGGCACAGCAGAAGTTGGTCATGGTTGAGAAAGAAAGAGGAAGAGCAGCAGCTGCATGTTGACTACTAGGAGGCTAGGCATAGGAATACTAGGAGGGAAGGCACAGAACCACCAGGGGGGTAGACAGAGTGGAAGCTCAGAATGGGATACAATAGTTTGTGAATATAGTCAAGGCAAGGAAGTAAAGTGCAGCAGAAGCTGTTTGCAGTGGTGGGGGAAGAAAACAAAAAAGATGATGTTTGTGACACAGATGGGGATGAAGGCAGAGCAGGAACTGATTGTTCCCAGGAAAGGGAAAGTAAAAGCTGATCATGGCAGGGGGTTAGCAGAGAGGAGGTGATCATGTTTTGGGGGAGGAAGGAGAATAGCAGCTAATCATGGATTGGAGGGGACGGAAACGGGGGTTTAAGATTTAATGGCAATTGTGACACAGAAAATGTCAGACAGCAAAAACAAGGCAGCACAACAAATGGCCAATGGTGTATATATAATCTGCTTATGGTAGATTCAGTACTGTGCAGCTGTTTGCACCATCCACAACAATGTACAGTAAGAGAAATGGCCTGACACAAAAAGGATTCCTGCACATTTATGTAAGAGAACACTTTATATGTGTTTCATACTCGGAGGGTTTATTTATTAAAGCTGGAGAGTGCAAAACCATGCTCACTTCTGCATAGAAACCAATCAGCTTCCATGTTTTATTGTCAAAGCTTAACTGAACAAGCTGAAGTTAGAAGCTGATTGGTTTTTATGCAGAAGTGAGCCTGATTTTGCACTCTCCAGCTTTAGAAAATAAACCCCTGAGTATGAAACACATATAAAGTGATATAAAGTGTTCTCTTACATAGCTGAGAAAGAAGAGTGAATGGATTCTGGAGATCTCTGTTCTTTATGTCCACCAGTAGATAAGCTATCATAAACGCAAGATGTTGCCCTCCTAGGAAAAAGAAGAAGAAACCCATAAAGTTCTTACTCCAGTCACTGGGCCCCAAGTGTGTCCCTAATAAGCCTGATATTGCAATCATTAGAGACTGGAGTGCCTTGCTTTCTGCTAAGCTGGTCTGTCACTGTGATCCCTATTTAGTATTAGTGGGAAAGAATATATGTGACCTACAACGAAGCAACTTAGAGAACATCAACAGAATGTAGTGAAATGTTACATCTCTTTATTATGGGTCACAGCAGTATAAGATACTATTTTACTGACTTTCTCAAAACTTTAAAAACTAGAAAAACTGATCAGACTACACTGGCTTCTCCACATATAAATATCCTACATGTATACGGAAGCAGAAAACAGAAAAATTATGTCTACAAAAAAGTGTGCAAGGAAAAAACCACAAATGCTTATTTTACTTGTCACACAATAGGTCCTAGGAGACCAATTTCAGAGAAGAGCTTGTATTTTGTTCAGGTTGCATGGGTAACCACATTCATGCCCTTCTTAGGCAACTAATCCATTAGGAGACATACAGAAGATAGACAGTTAGAATCCCTATATTGTATTTTGTCTATCGGCCTTTATTGCACGATTTCTTTAGGCAAAATACACTTGTGGTTTAATACCTAATGTCCACTCCACATTTCCATTTCTACACTTACCTTCTTCCTGCTTGTGTTCTGTAGAATAGGTTTTTCCAATCATTGCCCAAACTGGCTTTAAACAACCAAAAAGTCCACCCAAGAACCCAACTCCAGCCTGACACTGCATGCGTCCCTCCCCAAGAGCTCGACATGGCCTGTCATCTCCCAGGCCTGCTGCTGCTCCTCCACCACCTCTGTCCTCGGGTTCTTGTGGATCTTGAGGAACACTGTGTGTAAGAGGAGAGGATGAATCCTCATGGGGAAGAGTGACCTCTGTCCGCACCATATCACGCAATACACATTGTGTGGGGGTTAGTTCTTGCTCTGGGGTGCATCCAGGGGGTGTATCGGTGTCCAACCTCCGGATTGGTCCATCTATCAGTAGGCTGGCAAAGGATGGAGAAGGGGTGCGGGTGTCATGTAGGCATGCCATTATAATTCATGTGGCAAGATATGGAATTCAATTTAGAAATATCTGCTAAATTCTTAGCGATGAACCTATGAAAAATAAGAATAAGCACAGGATTATTATCTTTAATGATAAATATAAGGACTTAAGCTGGCCATACATTATACAATTTTCTTGTTCCATTTCCTTTAGATTTACCTTCAGCTATGTAGTACAGGGGCTTGCCTGATTGCATACAAATTGAAATTGGTTAGGTTCGACCTCATATTGTATGGTTTTGGTAAATCTAAAGGAAATGGTACAAGAAAATTGTATAATGTATGGCCAGTCTTACAATACATACATTTTCTAAGCCAATTCATTACAACAGGAATGATTAAATACATCTCATACATACTTTGTACAGTTATGCTCAAATGTTTGCATACCCTGGCAGAAATCATGAAATGTTGGCATTTATATTAAAATGTGACTAACCATGCCAAAGGATACTGATCATATGAAGCTATTTATTATCACATAGTTGTTTGGCTCCTTTTAAATCATAATGATAACAGAAATCACTCAAACGGCCATGATGAAAAGTTTACATACCCTGGAATGTTTGGCCTTGGTACAGACACACAAGGTGACACACACAGGTTAAAATGGCAATTAAACGTTAATTTCCATCATCTGTGGCTTTTTAAATTGCAAATATTGTCTGTGTAAAAATAGTCAATGACTTTGTTAGCTCTCATGTTAATGCACTGACCAGGCTAGATACTGAACCATGGGGAGCAGAAATGAAATGTCAAAATACCTGCGTAATAAGGTCATGGAATTTTATAAAGAGGGAAAAGAATATTAAAAGCTCTGGAAAAAAGCACAATACGCTGATATTTGAACAAAAATGAGCTGCATGGTTGAGTTGCCAAAAAGAAGCCTTTTAGTGCAACACAAAAAAGGCCAGTGAGACATGTCAAGGTGTTGTCTGGCATTATGTAACTGGGCTTTTTTGTGACACTGGCACAGCAAAGGCTTCTTTTTGGCAAAGTGACCATGCAGCTCATATTTATTGTGCTCCTTAAAAACAACCACACTGTCTTTTACCAGAGAAGCCTGTACTTTTCCTGAGGTTACCTGTGGGTTTTTTCTTTATATCCTGAACAACTCTTCTAGCAATTGTGGCTGCAGTCTTTCTTGGTCTACCTGACCTTGGCTTGGTATCAAGAGATCCCTGAACATTCCACTTCTTTATAAGTGGTTGACTGGCATATTCAAGGCTTTGGATTTCTTTATATATTCTTTTCCATCTTTATTAAATTCCATTACCTGGTTACGCAGGTCTTTTGACCGTTCTTTTTTGCTCACCGTGTCTCAGTATCTAACCTGCTCGGTGCATCCACGTGAGAGCTAACAAACGTATTGACAATTTATACACAGAAACTAATTGCAATTTAAAAACCACAGATGCGGGAAATTAATCTTTAATTGCCATTTTAATCTGTGTGTGTCACCTTGTTTGTCTGTACCAAGACCAAACATTTCATAAACTTTTGATCAGGGCTATTTGGGTTATTTCTGTTATCATTATTGATTTAAAAAGGAGCCAAACAACTACGTGATAATAAATGGCTTTGTATGATCAGTTATATTTTCAATATCAATGCCAAAATGTCATGATTTCTGCCAAGTTATGCAGACTTTTGAGCACAACTGTATTCCATATTTCCATTGCAACAAACAGATATTTTTTCATCACTTTCTCATCTGGGCTAAAGCATCAAGGTAACAAATAATTACATTATAATAGTGCTAGGATTATGATATGTTATAACCAAATCTCAGTAAATGATTTTTAAATGTAATAAATATACACATCTCTCCTACTGAACTGGATATTTCGAGGCAGGTCACTGAAACATTGCTGTTCCAGTTGTCGTCTTGGAAGTGATTATGTTGCTTATGTGTAATCTTCCAATAATACAATTATAGCAGAGTATCACAGTACAATTGTTACTTGAACACCGTAATCATATTATACAGTACACTATTGCAACATGCTTTATACTATGCTTGAATTCCATTAACTAATTTACATTTATCAGTCTGAAAGCCTCAAATCTTACTAGTAATCTCCTCTAAGTGTATAATGCAATCTTGAGGATTTCATAAAAAATGCTAACCTCACAAAGACTGGCGGAGACTTATGACTGCAGCTACTGGGGAGTAATATATGCTTCATAAAACTAATCCCTGTAATTCTTATAACACTAATGCTTTATTAGTGCAATTACACTTACTTCAAACCTTTCACTGTGTAAGTAAACTGAGGGGTCAGCGTCAGGACACAAAGCCAAGGTCCAAGTGATCAAAAGTATCCAAAAGAAGAACTGTCTGTGCTCCTGATACACACCAATCAGCATCTTCCTTTCCATGCTCTATTGGCAAGCTATGACAAGGAACATTATGTTTGCTAGGAGGTACAAGAAAGTTTAATGACTCTTGCAAGCAGTTGACCTGCAGATTATGAGTACCTTACTTTACCTTGACCTACTACAACCAGCAGCTGGCAAATATTGCACCAATTGAAGCAGTACTCAATATATTTTCCACCAATTCCATATACATTGTTCCCTATATCTCAACCCCTGATGAAGGGGTTGGGCAAGGTTTCAGCCCCTGAAATACATTGACTCTCTATATAGTCTTTCTTTTGATTTTTCACTGGAATAAATTTACTTATTTATCAAATGATGGGGTTGATTTACTAAAAGCTTTTTGCAAGTGCAGTTGCACTCATTTTCACCAGAGCTTAGTAAATGCGGCAAAGCTCCTCTTATTTAGATCATCCAATCATGTGCAAGCAAAAAAATGTTTTTTTTTTATTCCTGCCCCTCAATAGGTATGTTTTACAAAGTGAAGCTTTACCACAACGACATTTTCTGAGACAAAAGAGTGCAACTGCACTTGCAAAGTGCACAGTCTATTTTCCTTTAGTAAATTTACCCCAATCTGTTGCTCACCTCCAGATGTATATAAATGGTTTCAAAAGAAAAGACCCTGCAAGCGTAATGTTACTGCATATATATCATCACTGTATCTGTAGAGCAAGGAAAATGTTCAAAATGCAAAATATGATAGACTGGCCTATCAGGATTTTTTTAAAGTCTAACTCAAGGTTTATTATAGCTTAAAATAATTTGCTTGCTTTCCTTCCTCCTTCTTTTCTTTCTTCTCTTTTTTTCCCTGTTATATTCTTTATCCTCTTCTTCGACTCTTCTGTTTAATTTTTTCTGTCTCCCTATTTTTGTCAGATGGCTATTTGAAACTGCCCATGTTTACTGACCGATGGAATATGTGCTACCCTACTGGGGCTGTGTTCTCTTGTTTACAACATCATTGGTTGCTGTATTCCTATGTGCCTATATATTCCATGAATCTGTTTGATCGCCACAACTCACCATGTAGGTGGGCTATGTTTCCTATTTTTCTGTATACTACTTTCTACAGTTTTTCAATAAAAATATTGAAATAGAAATAATTTGCTTGGACCAGCTTGGTCCAAAATAACTATTTAGAGTTATATGAAACCTGCAGTTAGGTATTAAGCCAGACCATTGCAAGGTGGATTCTGATTGGTTGTTTTGCATATCATTGTAGGTTTGGTTGTATTTTTAGAGCCTCAGGCATGCTGAATGTAGGTGCAACTACTATGCATGAAGTTTTAAAGAGGTGTTTTCTTTGTTTTCAGAATTTTTCATAAAAGTGCTGCTGATGGTGCTATAATTGCTGCATTGTCTCCCTTTATATTGTAAAGCGCTGAGCAAACTGTTGGCGCTATATAAATCCTGTATAATAATAATGCTGTTTAGAGATATATTCAGAAAAAATATAAACTACTGCATTAACACTGTTATATGTACTAGAGGTTTAGCCCCATCTCTGATCAGCCTCCTTCTGTGTTATACACCGGATGGTGGACTGAGTCAATTACATCAGTTGTCCTGTATGGAGTTCTTCAGACAGTTTTATAAACTGGGTCTTAGGCTCCGTTCACGTTCACACTACTGCGACCTGAATGTTGCGAGACTTACAATGCGACTTTGCCAGGTGACTTTCTGGCAATTTGCTGACAATTCGAGTACAACTTTGATGTGTGACTTTCATGCCATGCATTTTTTGCCTGGGTAATCTTCCTGTAATGTCGGATCTAAATCACATCAATATAGATGAGCATCCGACTTGAAGGTGACTCCATCAAAGTCTATGGGCACAAGTCGGATTGAAGTCACCTTGAAGTAGTACAAGAACCTTTTCTAAAGTGGGAGTAACTTCAGTAGTGCTAATTAAGACAGCTCTCATTGACTAACATGGGATTTCACATGTCATACGATTTGGGGTCTTACAAGTTGGATCCCAAGTCGCGGCAGTGTGAACAGAGCTATGTGCAAGGTAATTAACCAAAAAATCCAATAATGGTACCTGCCTGACAAATTTCATACTGTAAAGCTGCCTGGGAACTAGTCATGCATGGAGGCATAGACAATAAGGACAGGAACAATGGGCAAAGTGTTGTAGCCATATTTCAATACATGTAAAAAAAAAAAAAAATATAGTAGCCATAGCACACAATTAGCAGTAATCTTTCATTCTACTAATGCTTTAAATAGACAAAAGGTAAAATTGGATTGGTAGTGATAGAATACTGCAATTAGCACATTTTTGTGCGTTGCATTGTGTATTTCTGAAAGAAATCTAAAACCAAGAACAAAAATGCTATATATTTCAGTGTATCAGTTATTAGATGTTGTGGCTGCATTAATTTTTCTTTTTCAGAATAAGAATATTGTTTGCAAGTACAGAAACATATACATTATACAGTCCCTGTAACTTCCTGTGCAAAGAACTGAAATCTCAGACAATGTTGTTGGCTTTACCAGCTACCTTCTGTGAACTGTAGGATGCTGCCTCCCCATGTAATGATGATGATGAGGAGAGGGGAAGGTTTTTAAAGTCTAAATAAGGACAGCAAGGAGAAA